ACATTTAATTAGAATAAATATAGTTTTAAGAATAGTATAATGTAAATTATGTATAAAGCTAATGGCCCATGTCGCCGAAGCTATAAAGATCAATAAAAAAAAAAAACCCCAAATCTGAATATCTGATCAAATATTCAAATATATAGTCGATATACACTTAATGAATTATGCCTATATAATGCAATTTTCGTAACTTTTTGTGTTTAAATTAACAAAATTCCTAACACACAATTTTGGAATTAAAGAACATCACTCAACCATTCACCAAATACACCGTCTATAGCCAATATCATTGCCTGTTCTCTTGAAAAGAAACTTTTACACCTCGGTAGTGTTCCTTGATTCACATTTCACACAGGCCTTTGACAATGTTTGGTACTCCGGGCTTCTTTTCAAATAAAAATCATTTCTACCTCCTTCATGTTACCTTTTTTTCAAATCATACTTTACGAACGTTACTTCCTTATGTCAGGTCAGGAACAGAACACTCCAACATCTCCCCAAATCGTATAGCCAGCGTTCCTCAAGGTGTAGTTGCATCGCCAATTCTATACAATATATACTCAGCAGACCAACCCACCAATCTAAACACTCAAATAGCCGAATATGCCGATGACAATGCCACAAAGCAATCTAGCTACTCCACCCACAGTGTGATCCTGGCTTAGTTTCAACGTTTTACCAATGCCATTTGAACGAGTTGCCACACTGGTTCTCCAACTGGTACATCAAAATAAATGAAAACAAATCTGTACACACTATACCTACGTTCTTCGCCACAATCTCCTTCAGTACATACCTATAAACATGCCTATCCCAAACTCCGACACAGCCAAATATCTCGAACAAACACCTAACAGGGTCTAAACACATTCATACGACAAAATTAAAATTAAACCAACAAAAAACGTCTACTCACTCAGACCCATTCTCGGTAAGTCCTCAAAACCAAAATTCACATCTATAATCTCCTTCTAAAACTTATCTGGCTGTACAGTATACCTATAGCTCTGGGGCACTACCAAAATATCAAATACAAGAAAAATTCAAGTGTTCCAATCAAAAATCTTCACTCATAAAGTCATAACTAATGCTCATCTTTATGTCTCAAATCATATTCTTCACTTTCCTAAAGTCACTGAAACAACCAAGATGTACTACTCAAAATTTATAAATCGCTTTCAAAATCACGCTACCTAACCCCTATATCAAAAATTTACTATCAATCTCCATCACTGGAAACCCTCCCCGAATACTCGAGCGACAATGGGCCCGTGACTTTATAAACTAAATAAACAAATATATGAACATTTAAATATCTAAATAATTGATAATTAACGTCAAAGTACCTACCTTCGCTAGTTGGTTCTTTTCTCAAGCTACTCAAGTCATATTGCACTTAAAGTTAACATCAATTATGCTTATTGTACATTTTTTTTATGGATAGTAGGTATAAATTCTAGTTTAAAAATAAAAATAAAATCATTAAAAAATTTAAAAATAGGAATAAAATATTTAACTCAATCTAATGTATTGTATAAAAAGCTATTATGACATACCTACGTACCGAGTTTTCGTTATGAGCAAATAATCTGTCGTTGAGACAATAAGTTCATAAAATCATTATTAAGAAATAATAATTTTTGTAAATTTAGGAAAGTAAAAAGAAATAAAAAAAAAATATGTAAAGGAAACTAAGAATTGTATTGTTATCATCGGTATAATCCAATATGGATAATTTTAGTTTAATACTAATGAATTCATGTCAAGTAAAAAATATGTTAATCTAAATATATCGCCTACCTTATCAAATTGTGCTAAATATGCACCAGAACACCTGTATACGTAGAAACGTAGTTTTTTCTAATTACAAACATTTAAACAAAATTATATACAAATGTAATGAATATAATTTGGAAATTGATAAAATTATCTATTTTGATTCAAAAAAATAATACTTTTATCTAAATTTTTTTTAAATTAATTTTCGAGAATTCAAAGTTTTTATTATATAACACTGTTGCATTTTTATAGTGCTATTTGTTAGGTATACAATTTTAAACGTTAATTTTGATCCAATAATAGTAATAATACAATTTTAATAATCAATTTTCATTTGTTCTTAATGCAATTAAATTCTGTCTTTACTTATAAGTAATGCAGGACTTACACCAAAGCAGTGTGAAACGGGCAGCCAAGTTATTGCACTTTTTCAGTGGAAAGGGGCAGCGCCAAAGCAGCACATGGCACATGCAGTGGGTCGTAGCGACTTTTCGTTTCATTGCACTTATACCTATTTATTTTTCTCATTCAAGTTGATTTTTTTCTGACAAAAAATTGTATTTATAACATATCATTTTTGTATAAGTACCAAAACGAAAAAACAAACAATTTTGGTTCGAAAAATATCACAGTATAAAACAAACAAATATGTTCGCCAATTGAAAATTGAACCACAGCATAGGCGTGTCCAGACCTTATTCGCAGGTCATGCACAACAGTGGCATATCTAGGAGATAGGGAAACTGCCAATCCTTCCCCCTCAAAAAAAAAAATATATAAATTTCTGTTAGGGTTTGGGGATATGGCCTTGAATCAAACACATGATGAAAAACAAAAAATTTAATATGAAATAAGAAATGAGAAAAAAGGATGAATGCATCAAAATGTACAATATAAGTTTGATCAAATTTGCAGGTCATGCCTGTGCATGACAGGCATGACCCGTGGACACGCCTATGAACCATAGAATACATGAAATTGCATATATGATGCGACCGAACCATTATTAAATATTATATTTATATATTGAAGTTTTATCATAGATTTAAATATTTAATATAAAGTATTTTAGCGTATTAACATAATATTTTATATGGATACATGTAGGTAGGTTCAATGGTACCTAGGTACCGATAAAAGCGCGATTAAAGACATCATGGCATGTCTTTAATCGTTTATATTAGTAAAATTATAATACTTAACAATAAATAGCCCAATCCCTAATAGATCGTGCAATGAGGGTCCAGGGTTATATCATAGAGTAATATAGAGAAGCCGTTTTTTCTAAAAACTGAAGCCAAAAATGACTCCATGGTCTCCATGGGTTATATGATAAATTGATATGTATGAACTTCACTTATCAAACCACATTTTTACATTTGGCGCAATTACATTGATTATTATGGATTAATATAAAAACATATTATTAAATTAAATATGTGAATGACTACAAAGTAGGCTTTTGATCAATGATCTTTTAATGATRGATAACTTGTACATTAAATGCAGATATAAATAAGGATAATATCTTTATCAGATTGGRAAGTGACTTAACTGTATCAACTTGTGTTTAAAATAATTAATCTCCAATGATTCAAACAATTAAGTTAATGGGTCATATTAATTTTTTATATTTAGTTACACAATAAATATTGTATTCAGATGTAGTTACAACAGAAATAATAGTAATAGTAACTAACTGAAATATTTTTATTGTGTTCAATAACTAGCTTTTCAGAATTCAGATGAATACCATTTTTTAAATTGAGTGGTGAAATCATCAGGGCCATGCTTACAGGTATCAATATATTGTTAATTTTTAAATTTGAATTTACGTAGTTAATTGATTTTTTTAAATAACCAATTTAAAACTATTTTAAATATCTATTCATATCTATAGTTATGGAGATTTGTAATAATTGAATATTATAGGTTAATGAACAGGTAACTAGGTAATGTAATGTAATGTTATTGTAACTATAATTTATGTTCATTATATTTTATACTTYTACAAATTTACCGTTGTAAGTCCAACAGGTGGAATAATAGTCGATTTTCTAGTGGGTCTTCTAGGTTGTGGAGAGGTACTACTAGTACCAGTATGTCTACTTCCTGTCGAATGTCGTCGTATAGGTATAATCCCAGCAAATCTCCTTCTTGATGGAGGCGCGTCTTCATCGGTAGAGGGAACTTGGAGAAAGTTTGAAGTTGTACTCGACATGCTATTATTATTCATTTTTACAAAAATATATATACATTAAAAAAAAAATACAAGAAAATAATTTTAACAAAACAGTTTTATTAATGTTAAACAAAAAAATGACACATATAATACTGAACAGCTAAGCTTATCTAACATAGTAAAATAAGCTATCTAATCTTAATGTTTCAATTGGTTAATGGTGCTTTATCTTTGTGTATGTATATAAAAACTTAAAAGTACTAATATTGATGATTTCATTTTTTATTTTATTTTGACAATAAGGTAAGAATAAAATAACAAAATAAAATAAAYAATTTGATTAACAACATTTTTCCTATGACATAACAAATGCTGACAAAAAATAAATAAATTAGTAGGTATATCTAATCATTCAATAATATGAACCAATATTATTTATGAACTACTACCATCATTTATATACAAATGTCCAATAAGTAAGGGTTCTTCAGTTTCAATAGCAACTTCTACTATTATCCCAACCATTTCACATTTTAATTTATGCAATAACCATCCATTTTCTAATGTCAAGTTATATATTTTGGAGTCTGGAATAATACAGCTATAGTCATCACAATTATTAAAAAATATATTGTCATCCCCTTGAATGCCAAACTCCATTTTATAAGGCATTCCATATGGATCTAATGCTCCTAAAAATATTTTATGAGAGTCATAGGGCTTTAATGCTTTAACAGTTATTTCAAAGTATAATGTTGATTTAACTTCAAAATGACAAACAAATATCCTATGATAAGAAGTGTTTTCATTGTTACCATTTAGTCTTAAGCAACCACCGCCTATAATTGCTTCACCGTCAACATAAGAATTACAAGGAAAGTTACCATCCTGCAAGCACAATGGAACAGATGGTTGATAATTTAGTTTTGATAAATCATACCAGGCATCCAAAGAAGACAAAACAAAATTTTCAATTTTCTTAGATCCATAACCTCGACAAAAGTATGTAGAAAATGGTAAAGTACAAGGAATGTGAATATACAAAAATGGGTAAAGTTTTCTCCAAAATATATCTTCTACTGTATTGAATTTATTTTTATCACTCAATGTCTCATAGGTCCAACCAGGAGCAAAGATTGCAACAGATAAGTCATATTTTCTAATTATTTCCAATGATTTATAAGAATCAAGACCGCCAATGCAGTTCCTACCAAATACATCTATTCCAACATACACATCAATAACCCTACTTCCGGCATTAGCAACAGATTTTACAAGATCTTCTTCTTTCCAATTATAGTTTAGAAATATACCATCACAAGCTTGAAATGCTAATTTGTTATGATTGTTTAGTTGATTTTGCCAAATAAGTTTTCCTGTTTCCACACTTACAGAGTCATACCAAATAACTTCAGAATGTTTTATCGCAGTCTTCAGTTTAGTTCTTAATAAGCTTACTGTTTCTATCATATTTTCAATGTTTTCCAATTCTAATTCATTTTCAACATTGAAAAGGTAACCATCAAATTTATAATATTTACATATTTCTACTAAAATATCTACTAAGTTATCTCGTTTTTCTAAATTACTAAATACTTGTAACCATAAAGTATTTCCATCAGTCCATTCTGTAATTAATGTTCCAAGAACTTTAACACCATGTTTATGTGCTGCATTTATCCAACCAATTGGTGGTATAGTGATAAAATTATGGCTAAAATAAACAAATGTATCTATTACAGACCAATTATAAAATGTATACTCATTACTAGATTTTGTTCCATTTACAAATCTATCATTTAAATAACCCCCTTGCATGTCATGGCATATGAGAGTTTTTGGAAGGCCTTGATTATGAAACCTTTTAGATGTTAAGAAACGTTCATGACATTTATAATCTCTGCCATTAATGGAATAACTAGCACGATCTTGCAAATGTATAATAGGAAAAGATTCAGACAATGGCTTCCATGATAATGCTTCTTCTAAAGATTTTATTGGCAATACTTCAGTAATTTCCATTTCTGTAATATCAATAGAGCAATATAAAAACTGTAAATGTTTTTCAATAATCAATAACTTACCATTCAAAATGAATTAACAATAAATAACAATTTAAAAATCACTGGACTTGTAAAAAGCGATTAAGCAACAGAATAATTATAAATTTGAACTAAACAAAAGTAGTAGATAACAAATTAACAAATTACAAGTAACAACCACTAACGTCTTAAATACATCTTCTTAGTTAATATTCATTGTACATTTGTATGTAATATTATGTTGAAAAAGTATCTCCATAGTGCATATTATGTTATTCCGTCCTGGAGTTATATTCTATTCCTATCAGAAAATAATAATTAAGCTTATTATTTTATTATCAATCGTCAATATGATCTAAGGTTGGCGCCATAATTATATGGATATGAAAAGTGATAAGAGATTGAACCTCACAAGTCGGATAAAATTATTTTATTTTATTGAMAATTGACGTAAGATGGAAATTTACAAAAGATATTTCTACGTTTATATGCGATGGAATTGAAATGGTTTGTAAATTGAAATTAAAATGTATAACGTATATGCGAAAGTATATAATTTGAGGTAAACGATTACAACGATATTATATTAATATATAATAATTTATCTTGCTATAAGATTTCCACCCTTTAGATAGAAGTCAATTACTAGTCAGTAGTCACCAGAGTTGTTTGCAATAATTTCAAAAATAAAAAGTATAAAAATATAATGTCTGTTATGTTTATTCTAGAAAATAATCTTAACATAACATGCTTATTTAACTTATTTTAACCTTTTTCGTAACAAGTGATTCGGCAGAGATTTTCTTCAAAATTATTCAGTCTATTCAGTCTATTGAATAATGAAGAAAAAAAAGAAAGCTCAATTGAATATAAAAAATTATTTATGATTTTTCTGCCATGTTAACGGAAAAGTTAATTTTAGATTCTGAGCAGACGATAAAATATGTATTGCCTTTACAATTGTTTTTTTATTTTTTTATTGTGTATAAACAATAAGTTTTCGAAATAATATCCTTATAGGTTTTCAATTTTCCAGTCATTTCAAAAACGCAGGTAAAAACAAAAAAAAAAAATCAAGAAAAGCGGAATTTTTACTCAAAATCTGCCGTTTTCGAGAAAATCGATTTTAGATATTTATGTAACTAAAACAAATTACTGCAGACTTACGAAAATATCACCAAATGTTTATAACGGCTCTTTCTATAACTGATAAATTTTTCAAATCTTTTAAAGTTATTTAAAGATATTTTAATTTTTTTTATTCAATAAATGTCAATACTATTTTATTCGCCTATCGTGATTCGTAAGCTCCTGACGTTTTCGCCAACCGACTCGCAGCGATCTGATTGCAAATTTGGATTCTCTATAGAATAAAGAAAAGTGCATACTCCTTAGAAAGTGAAAACGGAGTTGAAGTATATAAGTACCTACCGTTAAATATTTTTTTAAATTTGATTTTTGCTATTTTGGTAGTGGGTGGTTATCCTGAAACAGTGCGTCATCTGTCGGTCTATGAATTTTGTCTTTTTTGTTGATTTTAGACTTGTTTGGGAACCCTGTATATGCTTATCAAATATTGGTAACGGAACATAGAACGTGATATTGTGTCATTATACACAATTATACGCCAACACCACTATGGCCATAGAAAAGAGATTATGGCACTATATATTATAGTCAGGGTCTCAGAGTAGTCAGACTGAAGTATAAAATATTATTTATTATTATTTATTAGTATTAAACAATACTACGCACAGTAGGTATTTAAATTAATTATATACGAGTGTTATAACTACATTAACAAACAAAATTCAACCAGGAAAATTTATTGCTGATCAAGTTTCTGAAATGGAAACTAGCGAGGTAAATAATTTAATACATAAAAAAAACCAAATTAATTAATGAAATATTGAAAACCCACAATGCGATTTATGTAATCAAAACATACGTTAATCAAAATGCATTTGTACGTCTTATAGTACAATCTCAGTAAATGTGAAATATGTTTTATTATCTTAATTTATTTCATGTAATCTGTGATACAATGCTAACTATTACTTATTGTTTTGTGCAACTAACGATTGTGACTGTGCTATACACACACATCATTCCACGCAGCATTGTTTAATCAAAATAAATCCGGTTTTCATTTTAAACTTATTGTTGTTACTTTTTAATATTTTAGAGTCTGGACATAAACACATTAGAAAATATGTCATTCTACCATTGGAAACTATTAAAATTGAATGGCCGATTGGATACTATAACAGAACGTATGACAAAAAGAAAAAGTGGAACATTGGAACCTTATACTACATACATGGATGAAGATTCCACAGATAAAATTGATAAATTCTTGTTAATGAGTCAAGTAAAACCATTGGAATCAGATGATGATGATATGGACTTAAATAAAATGATATAATATTTTAATTTACTGTAAATAAATAATGTAACGTAACGTAAAATATAAATTTAAATCATATATCTCAATTATGTTGTAACTCGTTTCACTCCTCTTCGATTTCAATCACATTTTCTTTACATATTTTATCAACTAGGTTATTAAACATTTCAAATTGGTCAGCAAAAACATGATGCCCCGCATTGGGTATAGTCTATAATATGAAGAAAAAAAAATATTAATTATTGTTAATAAGCTACCTGTCTTAATTATTAATAGTTGATATATACCTCAACACGGACAAGATTATTTTCTCTTTCTAATTTAATTTTCTGTCCAATGCTTTGATCCATCCATGTGTTTTGTCCATAAATAAATGTAATGGGTACTCTTTTATCTAAATAATGTATACGTTTAATCATTGGGTTCTTTGCCCAACCAAAACCAGTGACTAGCGAAGTAAATGCGCTTTCGCCCCTAAAACAAGTATAATACAGACCTTTATTACATTATTATAAGTTATAATAGGATTTTTTGACATATCAATATCATAACATATTCAATATCTCTTAAAACATAAAAGTAACCTAAGTTTGCAATAGATATATATTATAAATATACTTTAACTTTATAATATATTTGGTACTTAATAAGTACTTTTTTTTTTATTAAGAAAGACAATTTACAATCTGTACACAATAATTACAATAAGCAAATAAGATAAAAACAGAATAAAGTAGCATGAATGACGTGATGAGGGAGAAACCCAATGGTAACACCTCTTTAACTAATTTAATAGGTCTCTACACCATTTTCGCTTTAGTCTGTGTGGTAGGTTTTTTGGGAGGATGAGGGAGGACATGTGTGATATTAAAGTATTGTGATGAGTGCTTAAATTTTGGTGGAAACGTTTATACATTGTTTTGCCTAGTTCAGTATCATTTAATATTTTTAAGTCATTGTGTAAGGTAGGGTTTGAAACGTACCGGGGGGCTTTGATTACTAACCTTAGCACTATTGATTGAAAAGCCTGAATTGGCCTGATGTTCGAGAGTAAGTGCTTAAGGTTGAAAGGACGCTACACTTACACATGTTATCTATGTTTCACGTATGCAAACATAACAATTTTTTAACACAACAAATCAATGACTAGATTCTTAAATTTTATTTAAAGTTAATATTATTGTTATTTATGTATATATTATATTATATATATGATAAAATTTGCAAAAAAATTAAATGAGTCTGAGCGTAGATTTTTTTTTATTATTTTAAAACAAATCATATCATAGATTTGAAAAAATAAAATTCTTAAGTCTTTGTAACATATTATAATTTGCTTTTAGCTTATACCTTAACAAATTAAAATATGTAAATATGGTATGAATAAACTGTTGTATGAATTTGTGGATTTGGGTTAGAGATGACGCATTGGATATAGTGTATATGATTTTAATCTAGATATACTCAACATGGCATAAACTGTCAGATAAAAAGCATTCATTCAGCATTGTAACTTCAATGTTTTGTATTTATTGCCAGATGGACAGAATTAACTRATATTGAACAGGGCTAATGATAGGTATTAGAAGGAAAGCTAAGAAGAAAAATGTTTTTGTAATATCTTTTAAAGTTCTTTTAAACAAACTACAAAAGTACAAAGCATTTAAAAATGTATTAGTTCAGTCTAAGATAAAAAGCAAAAGCAGTTTTATCTAGCTTAAATAATAAACCTTAAGTAATATTTTCTGAGAAGCTTTTAGACATAACGACTAGTCTTGATATAGTTTGAGTCTAGGTACATAATGTTCACAGCAGTGCAATACTGCAGAATTTTCAACATTAAAATATTTACTACAAAAAAACCTTTTTTTTATAAGAAAATTAATAATTATAAATTTACTATTTASTACTTTTGAATAATAAGCTTACGTTGCACGTTGAGAATTRCATTGAAATATATATTCTCCAATCACAGTTGATTGTTCTCCAAGTACTGGTTCAAACTTYTTCAATATATCAGATCGCAAATTTGTCACTAACCATTGACCTTTAAAATCAATAAGCACATTTTTTATTGTTGTATAAACCAATTAAGAGGATATCATTGCACTGTTTCTTTTCTGTCTTTTACCTATGCGCTATAAACAAAATGCATTTACATAGAATCATTTTTTTTTTAAGTTTTTCAATAAAATCATGTATTTTCAAAATCGATAAGAGAATAAAATTGTCGAGGAATAACATATTAATTCATTTAAATATTGTGTCAAAACAATTTAAACATAATTTATTTTTACAAACATATTTTTAAATGGA